TTGTGTCAGTTGACCTCGGGCTGATGTGGAAACCCATTCCCCTCCATATGGTAGCCAGAGGAGGTGAAATGTGACCTCTACCCAGTTCACTTAGGGCCACTATGCAAAACCTGTATAACTCTGTCAGGTGGTCTGGGGCAGCTGGGAAGCCTGGCCTTAAATCTGTCCAAATCACCTAATGTGACCTCCTCTTCAGGACTGTATCCCCAAGTCACTAGAGCAATTAGCTAAGCAAATAAAGGCTAGGTTCTTCCAGAATCTGAGGATGTATGGAGAACTAAGCCTACACACAGAGGCTATTAGAAAATGAACAGAAAGAAAGAAAGAAAGAAAGAAAGAAAGAAAGAAAGAAAGAAAGAAAGAAAGAAAGGAAGGAAGGAAGGAAGAAAGAAAGAAACTTAAGCTAGAACATACAGACTGGAAAAGAAAGCCAGTGTAGCTTGCCCAGCTTTGAAAATATACCTTGACTCCTGATGGTATTTACCCTAAAATATGTGTATTTTTGTGATACACATCCTTTTGTGCTAGTGACTCTTCTTTGAGAATATTCCTAGTGTCACAGATGAGGATTTGAGGACAATTATGGGAGCCCTGGTGGCATAATGGCAAAGGTCAGGCTACTAACTGCAAGGTCAGCAGTTTGAAACCATCAGCAGCTCCTTAGAGGCAGAGGGTCCCTATAGTCAGGATTGACTCCATGGTAGCGAGGTGGTTTGTTTGTTTTAATAGCTAGCCTGAAAGACATTGTTGTCCAACTTAATTATCTACTTTAAATGCGACAAGAGAAATGTTCCCTTGTCTCTTTCAATTGATAATATTTAGACTCAATTTCTAGAAATAAAGAATCTCTGGGTACAGCAGAACTCGAAGCATATAGAGACAGTTCTCCAGAGAATTCAGTTGGCTGCCATCTATCCCCTGAGAGAACCATGTGCCTCTAGAGACTTCTCTGGTCAGAGAAGTTAGCAGAGTTATTTGTTCCCATACAACAGTTCCTGATATTTAGATTATTTTTTTATGTTTGTAGAAAATATAAACAGAAAAACACTATAAAGTTTGGGTGAAACAGAATCATCCAGAAGCAAATGTAATTTTTTATCAATCTTGTGGAAGATAAAGATATCTAGGTCAAGCCTATTCTGGATGGTGTTGACCCCAAGCCCCTGTGAATTGTTCACTGAAAATAAAGAACAGATCAGAGAACTTGCACCTATCCTTTGAAGAAAGCTGGTACCAAGATTTGTTAAGGGAGCTTGAATTAGGACATGGGCAGGGAACATATCTTTATGAAATGGAATAAATATAGGTGCTTAATTGATTCTTTCAATACATCTTTATTGACTTGCTGGCACTATTTCAGGTTCTAGGGAGATAGTAGTGAATAAAACAGTCTTTTCCTGCATGGAGTTTAGATTCTAGTTCAGGGTTCCCCAGCATGTGACCTATAAAATGCTAGCTTATGGAGAAAGTCAATAGTTGCCATGAAAAATGAGAGTTCTCGGATTTGATTCTAAAGGTCAGAGAGGGCTTGATTGAGCCAAATCAAGGAGGTTTCCTTCAGTCAGGTCTTCACAGCTATGAGTGTCTAGAGCTTTCATAACTGTCAGTCAGTTCCTGCCACTTTCAGATTCCTTACCTTCTGTTCAGACCCATCAATGGCTGCACGTAATCAGAGCCTTCTACGTGGATAACAAAGACCTGGCGTCGCAGGATGGGCAAATGGTTCCCATGCTGAACTGCTAGCTGAAGGTTCAGGACTACTTAGTGGTGCCTCATCAGAAAGACCTGGTGGTCTACAGCTGAAAATTCAGCCATGGAAAACCCCAGCGGGCTCAGTTCTGTCCTGACACACATGGGTGACCACGGAGTCCACAGCAACTTGTTCTGTGGTCACGTGAACCTCTTCTGACTCCTGGACTTCATTTCCCTTTGCTTGATCTGCTCTAACTACATTGATCTTTCCATTTCTAAAGTTTTCCCATTATATTCTTACTGAAGGGCCCATTGCTAGTTGTTCCCTCAGCGAGGTCTGACTCTTTGATGATACGACCACCACCACCACCACCAACAACAACAACAACAACAACAACAACAAAACAGTCAAACCCACTGCCATGGAACTGGTCCCATCTTATAGAAATCCTAAATAGGGTTTCAGAAACCCCAAATAGGCTTTTTGAATCTTGATGGGAGCAGACAGCCTCATCTTTCTCCCAAGGAGTGCCTATACTGACAAGGCCACCTGAGTCATGATACAGGGCTCGACTTTTACGTGACTTCCTCAGACAGTTCTTGCCTCTTAATGTAGGCTAGTACACAGGCCACTGTTACACCATCCTGTTTTCCTTTTCTAGTCTGGGTAGACTAGAGAAACAAATGCACAAACACGCAAATGTATATAAGGGAGAGGTCTATATATGAGAGCAATGAAACATTGAGAAAACATCCCAGCCCAGTCCAGATCAAATCCGTAAGTCTGATATTAGCCCATATGTTTAATATCAATCTATAAAGTCCTCTTCAGACTCATGAAACACAGGCAATGACGCTGAATGCAGAAGATCACAGGACAGTGGGTAGAAAGTCTTTGGATCCAGGGTCATTGGAAACATCTCAGCGCTGGCAGGGGTCTCTCTGTGGCTTCTCCAGCTTCCAAGGTCTGGTTGTGTCCATGTGGCTTGTCTTCTGCAATGTCTCCCAGGGAGTAGCAGAGAGATAGAGGTGTCTTCCGCCTCCAAGGAGGAAACACCAGATTTCCCAGAATTCTCAGGAGAAGGCCATGCCCACAGAAGTCTCATTGGCTATCTCTAGATTGACAGCCTAGACGCCACCACTACACTCTTCCTCCTTATAATGACACCAGATGAGGTGACTGCCAGTTTTCTTCACAGAGTTGATTGCTCCTCGGTAGGTTTGCTTTTGCATTTGCTGTGTATATCCTTTGTGTTCTGTCCTGGATACATATTCTCCATGAGACCCATTGACCATTTGTCACCGCTGAGACTGAGAAATAACAGCTGGCTTGACCTCCTGCTGCACCCGCCTCACTGGTTATCAAAATGATGCAAAGGAAGATGGGTGCGCGTCCTTGATGGGCATTCCAACAACGGGCATTCCAACAACGGTGCTCTTTCGGTCCAGTTAGGACTTCATTTTAGGACCCCCCCCCCCATATTTCTTCTGCTGAACAGTGTAGCCGAACACACACACCCAAACCCAAACCAAAGCAAAGCCCAATGCCCTTCTGCCCATAAAGATCTTTGTTTAGAGTTTCAGTTTGAACACCTTGGAATGGTTAGGGCAACCACCTGAGTTGTTCTCGGCTGGTAGAGCTGCGGTAAGGTGATCCTGAGCACAGCGAGAATTTATGAGGTAATTTGGAAAGAGAGAGATTTAAGAACATTGAGTGCTCCTGGTAGATTTTGGAGCACAGGTGTACTATCGTCTATTTGGAAAGAATTGCAAAGAAATGCTGTCCAACACTGCGCATTAACTGATCATGGGAAGGGTTCCTAAATTACCTCAAAGTAAATGGGCTTTAAGAGGCGATTTGAGATACAACGGAGGTAGGCAGCAATATTTTGGGCCTCGTTATCTGAAGGGAATCACCTCTCTTTCAAAAAAATTTACCACAAGGGTGAGTCAGTTAATGGTTTTGTTTGTCTTGTTGTTGCTGCTGCTGGTGGTGGTGCAAACAACAGGAATACACACAAACCTCATTAAGCAAAGAAGGGGGATTGATGACACGCTCTCAGCAGGGTCTCCTGGAAGCCGAAGGCAGAAATGCTCGCTGGCTTCAGGAAGCCTGGGAAGTCCTCAGGGACTCCATATTGCTCCTCTCTGCCTGACAGCTTCTTTCTTCACTCTTGCAGCAAGCTACCTTTTGGGGTGGGCATTATGGATTGAATTGCACCCCCTCCAAATAAAAGGTTAGAATCCTACTGGGGCAACCAACCGTTCACCACTAAGGTTGCTGGGTCTAAAGCTGCTCAGCGATTCTATGGGAGAAAGACTTGATCATTTGCTTTTATGATGACTGAAGCCTAAGAAACCATATGGGGCATGTCTGCTCTGTCACACGGGTTACCATGTGTTACCAGGAGAGTCAAGGTTTGAGCCTCTCCACTTCTCTTCCTGTCCTGCTCACAAGGATGAATTCAGGCAGGGACAACATTCAGACCAGAGTCAGAGATAAGGTTTGAATGAGAAGAGTGAGTTTATTAAATGGGTACTTTGATATAGAACTCCAAAGGCCCCTCAGCTAGTCTGGTAGAATGCAGAAGTAGGCCTTTTATTCTGCTAATGGTGAAGCTTTCATCATTAATTAGCTTTCCTGGGGGTCTTCTGCTATTGGCTGGTTTTCTGTCCTGCACCTCCTCTACAGTCGCATGAAACCCTGCAACCCAGACTTCACGAACTGCCCTTGTCCATAGGCCCCCACCCAAGAATCTCTTCAGTCATTGTGGGAGTAAAGTGAAAATCCCATTTCTCCCTAAACCACAACACCTTTTTGCAAGCTCTGATCTCTTGTTGATAAAGACATTCTTTTATGTGCCCTTCATCTTCCTTTGTGCTGGGGAGGTTTGGGGGAGGGGGAGGGGATGTGCCTCTACCTCTCAATTATATTAGGATTCCTGCCATTTCCTCCCCTTCTTCCCCCTTACTTCCGTCTAGCTAAATTGACTCACTGGCAACCAACAGCAATGAAGTCAACGTAGATGTAATGTCATTTGGGAATAGGGTTTTTGTTATGTTAATGAGATCATATCTGCATAGGGTGTGCTCTCAATCTGGCTGTTTCAGAGTTATAATCAAATGCAAGCTCACAGTAACCCAGTCGACTCTGGCACGTAAGGAGCGAGGAAAGCATAAACACAGAGTCCAGGAAGCACACAGGGAGAGGAAACTGTAAATCTAAAAACTCCACGCATGGCTGGGTCTGGGGCCTGGATTATGCACCCTCATTGGCACTGTGGGTTAGGCATTGAACTGCCGTCACGATGAAGGTGAGGCCGTTTGTTTCCATAAGTAGTTACACTCTCAGAACCCCTGCGTGGGGCTGCTATGAGTTTGAGTGGACTTGATGGCAGTGGGTTGGGTTTTGTTCTGTTTTTCTGGTTTGCAACCTAAAAGAGGTAAGAAAGACCTCCCCTTCGTTCTGACTTTTGTGATTTCGCATTGAGAAACTAACATTCTGCTCTTTAAAAGCATACATCGGTAGTATTTGTGTTGGAGTCGCACTAGGAAACTGAGACAACAGGCATCGGTTTGCACTAACCCTCATATTGCATACGTTTACACAATATACATACAAGAGTCAGAACAGGCTGACATGAGTCTTTTGGTCCCAAAAGAAGTAATCTCAGCAGTATCTCACTCATCTCTGGTCCATTGGAGCCAAGGAGAAAGGGGCAAAAACTCAAGGTTCAAATTCACTTACTTCCACCTGTGTGCTATGTACATTGTGGAGAAGAAAAGAAAGGGGAGGGAAGGGAAAGAGGGGGGAATGAGAACATGCACAAGAAAGGGGAATTGCTGAGAGCAGGACCAGAATTCCCTTGGCTCCACAGAAGAAATATATTATTGTCCACAGACCTTAAGCTGCTAATTTGGTCATTTATTCATTATAGATCTGCTGAGTTGTTACTGGAACAACAAGAGCCCCAGTGGTGCAATGATCAAGTACTTGGCTGCAAACCAAAAGGTTGATAGTTCAAACCTACTCAATGGCTCCACAGGAGAAAATACCCAGTCATCTATTTCTCCAAAGATGACAGCCTAAGCAGCCCTGTGGCTGTTGTTCTTTGTCACGCGGGGTCACGATGAGTGAGAATCAATGGTGGCACCTAACAACAGAACAGGAACTCTAAAGGGTCAGGGCTGTAGAAATGAGGAAGCTAGAGATCTAGCTAGGAAAGAAGATATGCATGTATGGAATTGCTAGAAAGCATAAATGGGAATGAGTTAATAACATTCTCATTGATTTGAGCTATATGCAAGATACTTTGGGCACTAAAGAATGAGGGTACAAGTCACTAATACCTACCCACTCCCTTTTCGTCCCCTCAAATTCTAAACCAATTGAGAATTAAGATTAAGCATACGGGGACCACTATCTTTTTATGGAGAATCAATACTAGGTTGAAGATGAAGTTTTTCTTTGCAGGCAAGTGGGCCTCCTGTACTAAACCCTAGAATTAGGCAGATGAGGGAGCCACCTTAGTCCTGGAAGTAACATCCTTGTTCTTTGAGGATGAGAGTATACCTGAATCCGCAAGGGTATTTTAATTTCCTTATATGCATGTGAAAGTTGGACATTAAATGAGTAAGGAAGACTGAAGACTTGAATTATGGTGCTGGTGAAGAATGTTGTAAGTACCATGGGTTACCAAAGACAAACAGATCTGTCTGGGAAAGAAGTCTAGCCAGAATGTTCCTTAAAAGCCAGCATGGTCAGACTTTGCCTCACATACTTTGGACACCTAATCAAGAAAAACCAGTCTATGGAAAAGGACATCATGCTTGGAAAACTAGAAAGGCAGTGAAAAGGAGGAAGACCCTCAATGAAATGGATTGACACAGTGGCTGCAACAATGAGCTCAAACTTAACAACAAGTGTGAGGGTGACACGGGGAGCAGGCAGTGTTGCGTTGCGTCGTACATGGGGTCTCTGTGTATCAGAAATGAACTGACAGCACCTAATGACAACAGAGGGAGCTAGAAAAACATGTAACGCTCCACGAGGGAGATAGGCGAGGAGAAAACCAAGGGTCTAGCCTTAGGAGTTTGACTTGCTGATGAGTGAAAAGGGAAATAACCTTCCTCCCACTCTAACACAAAACAAAAAACAACCAGGTAGTGATAGAGAACATCATAAAGATAAATAGAGCAGGGCTACAGGAGCTAGACAAGGGCGGCACAATTCAAGACAGGATGGACAGGGAAGATATTTCCAGGGAAGTAACATTTGATTATACGTGTGTTTTCCTAAGCAATAGCAAACACCTTGAGTGTTTGAAAGCATTCCAGAGTTGGAGTCCAGGAAGGCATTCCAGATAGGGTGACATGAGCAGGGATGAGATGAGACATGCGGTGGTAAGTGAGGAAATAGATGTCGGGAGAACTATAGGTGTTTGGGGCGGGGAGGGGGTTGCTGTATTTTGTTTTAGCAATAGATCTTGATCGACATTATGTCTGCAGGGTGAACTTAGGTAACTTCACAGTGACCTGTGTGAAGTCAGGGATTTGAGGTTTATCTCAAGGCACCAGGTCTGAGAGTCCTTAGGAAGCACCATGGACCTGGTCTCTTGGAGAGGAGAAAATAAACTGGCTATGTAGAACAAACTGGGACAAGCTGGAGGCCAGGAGATCATGCAGGATGCTACTGTCAGAATTATGACACGTGGTGATAAAGTCTTGGCTTTAGATAGCATTTGGAGGAAGAAGTATTCAACATTAGAGATCATTTCAAAGGAAGACATAGCTGAGTCAAAATCAACATTCAAGTCTCTTAGTTACACGAAATAAGTCATACTCATTATCCTCCCTAGGAATGGTAGCCTAGAGTAAAACTATGCCCATGTCTATTGTTCATCTGATGGTATAATTAGAATGCATGAGGTGCAGCCAAGCCTGGGTTGGAATGCTGAGCAGGTCTCCAGTCTTGGGGGATGGCAAGTTCCTGGACATGCCAGTGATTGGAATTTTCATCACTCCTTGTCTCTCAGGCATACCCTAACTAAACCACTCTACTCTGATGCCCACTTCTCGGCATCCCAGGGTACCCAGGAAACTTCCTGAGATTTTGCTCACTGCCAAAGTGCAAACTCATTGCTTTAATTTAAGGCCATTTTCTTGACATTGTTCCTTTAGTGAAGACAAAGGATTCCTATCAGCCTCACCACACAGCACTATCCAATGGTCTAGCCACTAGCCACTTGTGGCGATTTCAATTTAAAATCAATTAAAATAAAAACGGAATTCTTGTTTTTCTGTTGTATTAACCACTCAGCAATACTCAAGAGCCAGATGTAGCTTATTGGACAGCACATATATAAAAAAGCCCATCATTGAAGAAAGTTTTATGGGATATTGCTAGTATAGAGGATACCTTAAATCTCCCTTATAGTGCTAACCTGGTTGTTACTTGTTAAGGTTCTTTTGGTGGTTAAAAAAATTTTTTTAAACTCACTCTATGTAGAGAATAAATATGAAAATAAACAATGCTTGGAATAGGAAGGTTGTGGTAGACCTCTTGGGAAGATATAAAATATCCCACAGGACAGAATAACTGGTTACAGAACTAAGGGCAGCTCAAAGGACATTCACAGAAGGTGTCTGTAGGCCGCTCCTCTGTGGAACTGCCAAAACATACACACACCACCACCACCACCACAAACAACTCACTTGTCATTAAATCCGTTCTAACTCAAGGCAACCCCCGAGTCGAACTGTGCGCCATGAGGTTTTCGATGCCTTTGAACTTTCAGGGAGCCCTGATGATGTTGTTTAGCTGAAAGGGTGTTTCAAATCCACCAACCACTCCAATGGCGTAAGACGAGGCTATCTGCTCACATTAAGATTTACAGTCGCGGGAACCCTACATTGGGTCGTTATGAGCTGGACTCACATGAATGGCAGTGGGTTTGGATTTTGGGTGATCTTTCAGAAGATTGTCAGTCCTTTCTTCTCTGAGAAGCCTCTGGGTGGATTTGAGCAAACAACCTTTTAGTAAGCAGCCCAGTGCTTACTGGTTTATTGTGCCCAGGGACTTGGAACAGCTGCTGGTCCCAGTTACCGGATCTCTTTCTTCCAAGCCAAGAATGGGGATCAGCTTGGCTCATTTGGGACTAAATGTGGTTGGTGAAGAGATGGAAGTGGGCCCTAAGGGACAAAAATGTGAACAGGTTGTCTATCCCAGTGTCTCTCCAGTGTTCCCAGAGAGCAGGGAGACCCTTCAGGGCAGGAGAGGGGCAGGGAGGGAAATTCCACCTCATTAGGGGCCAATTTCTCTGGATGTAGGTTTTTCTTAGCAGTTGATCCTGAACTTTTTATTGTTGAGCAACTTTTATAAGTTTCTCTCTACTTCTACTTGGGCACAAGCACCGAAATGATGTTTCTCTTCACCTATCTCAACAATTATTGAAAAGTTACTTGGTGTGCAGGTGCTGGTGTATATGCAATGGGAGGTAGGAAATGGAATAAGATGGGCTTTGTTAAGAAAAGGGTCTACAAAAAAAAAAAGAAATAAAGAAAAGGATCTACAGGTATCAGGCATCTAAGACCCAGAACAAAATCATACCCAATGTGAATGGAGGCAGGGTGGGGGTGGGGAAAGCGTGGAGTGGAGACCCAAAGCCCATCTGCAGACAACTGGACATCCCCTCACAGAAAGGTCACAAGGAAGAGATGAGCCAGTCAGGGTGCAGTATAGCACCGATGAAACACACAACTTTCCCCTAGTTCTTTAATGCTTCCTTCCCTCCACAATCATGACCTTAATTCTACCTTACAAATTGGATTAGACCAGAACATGCACACTGCTACAGTTAAGAGCCTGCAACACAGGGAATCCAGGTTAGATAAATCCCTCAGGACCAACAATGAGAGTAGAGATACCAGGAGGATAAGGGGAAGGTAGTGGGTGTGGAGGAGGAATCTATCACAAGGATCAACATATAACCCCCTCCCAGGGGGACGAACAACAGAAAAGCGGGGTGAAGGGCGACAGAGGACGATGTAAGATATGAAAATAATAATCTATAATTTATCAAGGGTTCATGAGGGAGGGTGATCTGGGGAGGGAGAGGGGGAAAATGAGGAGCTGATATCAAGGACTCAAGTAGAAAGAAAATCCTTTGAAAATGATGATGGCAGCATACGTGCAAATGTGCTTGACACAAAGGATGAATGTATGGATTGTGATAAGAGATGTAAGAACCTCCAAAAAAAGTATTTAATAAATAAATAAACAAAAAAGAAAAGGATCTAATCCCGTAATACAAAA